CAACGTAATATCGGAATGCTGTCACTTACTTGATTGTACTTCGGTTGCGAGTGGACTGCGGATTGAATTTATGTTATTACAACGTACTATTGTTATGAATTTTAAAATTGTATTTGAAAGTGTCATAATTTTTTTATTACAAATAGTACAAAAGAAAGTTTTCAATTAATTTGTAGAATAGTTTACTTGATGAATTATTGTCAGTTCATAAACTGACAATCAAGGGTATCTAATATTGTGTGAATAGTAGAGTTCACAAAATAATGCGACTAGTCAATTTATAAATAACTCATCCAATTATAAAGTGTCCAACTTTAAAATTGGTTGGGTACGATTCTATTTTTAGAGTTCCGCCAACACGTCGTGATTATTTCGATCCAACTCAGCATTTCAGATTAGAATAAACTTATTTTCTATTTAACGGGTAAACGTAAATTTAAAACTCTCCGACAGTTTACAAATTGACTGTTAATGTAGCTTTGAAGCTTATCACTTATTCAACATTATAACATAATTAAAATATACTTTCGAAAATGTGAAAAGATTCAGGATATTGAGGCGGAGAAAATTTATGACGCAGAAGCAAGTGTCGGTAGAGGACGCCCTAGTTCCAAACTTTATCGATCAGATTGCTTTCAGAGCTGTTTTTGAAGCACTAGTTACCGATAAGGGTAAACTTTTCGAATAGAGAATATGCGAATAAGTTATTTAAAAATAACCCTTTTAAAGAATTATATAATAAATAAAATTTAAACTTTTAGTTTCAAAATTTATTATTAACTAGCTGTCGCCCGCGACTACAATCGTGCGGAAGTAAAAAAAATAATTACTATCCTATGTTTTCTTCTAGTAAATGTTTCAAGTCTTTGCCAATTTTCAGCGAGATCCATGCAGCCAATCAGAAGATACCTTCTAACAAACATCCATCCACACTTTCGCATTTATAACATTACTTACTTACTCCGCTGGCCAATCGACCCAAAGTGGGTCTTGGCCTCTGACACAAGAGATCGCCAAAGTCGCCTGTCTTGCGCCTTCTCCTGGCAGTCCATCGCATTTATAACATTAGTAAGATTTATTAGTACGATTTAATTATAACAGTACGACTCAAATTATATATTTTTTTACAGTGACTATTCACGTGAGGAAAGTATGAATGAATAAAACGTAATGAGACGTCATTCGGATTTCCTATAAAAAGTTCGGTAGCGAACATTTTGCCAGTGATGGTGTAAAAAGTAGAGTAGAATCGTGGGCGATGTTGCTGAACTGGAGAAGATGGTCCTACTTCGTGATTATATGTTTAATGCACATCGTAAAACAAGGTAAATAAATATATTGAATACATTCGTTCTTATTAGCCGACTTCAAAAAGAAGGAGGTAATCAATTCGTCAGTCTTTTATATATGTTAACGCGTAACTCCGTTCCTGGTTCTCCAATATTGATTTTTTTAATCGAAAGGTAATGCTTGTAGGTACGTTCAATTTTTTTTTAATCATTTAACTTACTAGATAAATAGTAGTATTTGAGTTCGAGAAAATTTATAATATCATCTTTGTCCTTTTCTCTACTTAGGATAGGTACAGTATCTTCCACACTAATATATCTCTATCAGTAGTAATATTTTTATTCCCTCCTCTTTCTTTTTATAATTACTTCGAGCTGCCTTCACAGCTAAACTGCAACAATACAAAACGCACTAAGCCATAATAGATGTCAGCTCTTTACCTTAGCTGTCATCATTGTCCGTACCCACTGACATGTCCCGGACGCGCACCCGGATGACGTCATCTCTATACAAACATGTCCGCCTGTCCCTCTGGACCTTTTCCTATATCACTGTTCATATTCCACACCATTATACCTATAGATTTGATATTACAATCCATTGGTCCAAATACTTACACCAACACATGCTATTTACATTGTTAAGGTATTATATATCACATACAAACGGCATCTTATATACATATTATATATTTTCAATGTTATGTGTGTAACTGATATTAACCCTAACACACTATTCATTTAGAGAAACCCGACCTTAATTAAGAGGCGTGAATGAGAAAATTGATCTCCCCAATTGAATAACATCGAGCGTTGTATGAAAGGATACGTTATTAAGATTGTTTTCTCTGAAAGTAATATAATTTATAAACAGTTTATATTAAATCTCGAAACCCAGACTAGCGTATATTTCTTTATGTTCATATTTTTTAATGTTCTCTCTCTTTTATTTTTCTTTTCAATAAATTGCAATCGGCGATGGAAAAGCAACCAGAAAATATTGACTAGTCGTAATAATATAATCTGGGACATTGGATAATTGGTGTTTTGTTTTAGGGAGCGGACAGGCAACAGACGTGGATGTCCGTCTGACAGCACCCAGCTGGGTCGCACGAGGTGGATCCGCGACTATGCGATGTCTACATCAGGTGATACTGCTATTATTCTTTCTTTACTGGTTTTATTTTATAATTATAAATGTGTGTACATACTCTTAATTTTAAATTTAGAAATGTGTGTGTACCAAGTGCCAAAAAAACTCCAATTGACTGTCTTTTATTATTATTTAACAGTTACAATCAGATTAAAAAACAAATGACATGTCATTCTTCAAAATTAGACAAACTGTTTTCGCCCCAAATGCGACAAAGTTGTTACCTTTATTTTTGGGCCGGTTTGGTTGGAAAAATGATATATACTCGGTAGCTATTGTGAATAACTAGCTGATAGCCCGCGACTCCATCCGCGCGACACATAATAAAACTTAATCAATAGCCTATGTGTTCCTTTTGAATATGTTTTTGTCTATGCAAAATTTCATCGAGATCCGTTTAACCGTTTTGGAGATGCTTCATAACAAACAACCATCCACGCATGTGACTAAAATTTTGCATTTATAATGTAAGTTAGAAGTAAAATTTAGGTACATTATAGGAACACTGTTAAATATTAAATAGTGCAGGAAAGATATAAGCATTTGTTTGAAACTTCTCGCAAGACATTAATAGCGGAGTAAACCACTTTCTGCACCGCCTCCGCGTTTGACTATAAATAAAAGATCTCATCTCGCGAACGAAAGCACCGCGTTGTGTTGTTTTCGCAAGCTTTGTATGCAACTAATTTGACAAGAAAGTCTAATTAATGTTTACTTTTCATTAATTTGGCTTCTGTTATTATGTAACAATGTTTAAATGATAGGAATTATTTCCTAACTAATCGAAAGTCTTTATTTCACCTTTTAAATGTATATTGAATTTGAAAAAAAACAGTGAAATAAACAGATTTAAATTCATATAAATATTATACTTAAGTCGTACACAAATAAAATCCTATTAATTTTAGAATAAAAATATTAAAAATAAAAAGAAAAGTCTAATATGTAGTTAGACTTAATTAGTTAATAGCCTTTATAATGTTATTTATTTCTTTATCATTAGGTACCTCCACAATTACTCTATAAAGTTGAATTCCTAAGATCGGGAGCCAAACTATTGCAGTATGTTCGCGAGAGAGTACCGCCGTTTACCAATTACACGTTTCCTGGTGGAAAGTTAAATGTAAGTTACGAAAAATTATTTTAAATTTTTAATTAAAAAAATAGTTTATGTTACAAATGACTTAGCTAAAAAAAAACAAAAGATAGCTATCACAATTGGTTGTGGTTTAAAAGATAGAAGGTAAAAGGTCACGGGGTCGATCATCCACTAGTCCGATCAAGAGAAGGCTATATTGGAACTTAATCACGACTGCCCTGAGACAAGCCGAAGATATGACAGCGTGGAGATAGCTGGTCGACGCATCTGTAAAGGCATATCAAGACGAGCACGACCCTCAGTAATGAAGTATACGAAGAAACTATCATAAATCCAACTTGGCTGGATAACAAATACCTTAAATAACATACCAAATTAAAAACAAAACAATAGTTTTTTTCTGTAGTATTGACAGTGTACAATGTTGCAGATGTCTCTCGTAACTGAAAATTCTATAACAATCGAGAATTTGGATCCTTCAGCGTCAGGCTTGTATTGGTGCGAGGTGTCTCTAGAGACGCCGATCTTTACGGCCGCCTCGCCGCCGCATCAGCTTACTGTAGTCTGTAAGTATAATAATATTTCCCTTAAGAATACCACTTCTTGAATCAAAGATAAATTCAATTTTCTTTAGGTTAATATCAGAGATTCGTTATTTTTCTCATGTTCCTTTCATAATTTCACCGATTTCGATTAAGTCCTTGTTGAATTTGCGAACCCTTAATTTTATATCCTATCATTGTCTTCCGTGGCTCCTAGGATTTCCTGGAAAACCGAGAATTATTGATCTGTCTCTATATGAAAATTCCAAAACTTATTATAAATATATCATGTTTATAAAAAAGAACGTCTAGAATTATTTATCAAGGTTTGATGATTTGTTAAACATTTTTTTAATCAGATGCCCAAAAGCATCCACCGATCATAACATTCGGAAAACCCGATGTGGTTGTCGAAGGATTGCTGCGAGCTAACTGTACCAGCGCACCGGCCGCGCCCGCGCCGCGTCTCACCTGGTATATTGACAATGAAAAGGTAAAGATATACTCAAAATAATTTATAATCTTAATTTATTTATTAATCAACCCGAGAGCGTACTCACAAGTTCATTGTTACTAATTATCATTTCATTTATTTAACACGTTAGCTGCCTTGTCGGACTATATGTCCGACAAGCTAATGTTTCATTCAGGTCTTGTCGGACTATGTGTTCGACAATCCATACTTTCATTCATATGTAAATAATAAGTATATGAGCAATGTAAATAAGCTATTACTATATTTTTGACACAATAAAAAAAATCGTTTTTCGAAAAATTATTCTGGCAGCTAACGTGTTAATCGACAATTATACAAAACTCAGACAGTTATATGAATAGTCTGTCTTTTCTGGTTCTGATTTTATTCGGAAAATTGGTACATTATATATAATTTTATAAACTTGCGGCAATTTCACTGAAATGTAAATAATACACATAGTAATACATATATAAATATGTTATGAGAATACTATGTATGGAGAAATTTCTCCGCATTAACAATTCAGTTGGCTACTGGATCGATGTAATTGCAGTTATTGCGTGCTGGGATTAATTTAATAATTTCAAGGACTTAAGAAAATTGATCGAAATAGACCGAAGAGAATTACCGTTAAAAGGAAGTAATTTAAATACCTACTTATGTCTAACATTGAATTATTATGATAAAGTATGACAAAGCTCTGAAAAATAATTCGACTATTTTAATTTTTTATTAAGCCTAAATAAATTTATTTCACACCACATCAATTCAAAATTTTAAAATCGTTTATTTTTAGGTACCTGAGGATTCTATCAAATATTTCTCGTACAGAGTATCAAGTTCGACTCGAACTAAAGGCGGCGGTGGATACAAAAACAGAAAGTATCATCACCGATATATAGCTCCAGAGTTTAACTATACAGCTAAATATTGGGCTCTAGTTAGTGAGACTACCACAATAACACCGAACACGACTAAACATAACAAATGTACTTTAAATGAAGCGCAAAGCGAAGAAATGAAAAAGGTACTTACAAGATAACTATTATGCCATCAAACGTAAAACATTGGTATCTTTATTTATTCCGCTACGACTTAGGGATCTTTAAGATGCGAGCGTATAATTTTCTTAAAGGCCGACAACGCATCTGTGGTTCCTCTGGTATTTCAGATGGACGTCGTTGAACACCTTGGTACTTCCGATGCTCTTTTGACCCCTTATTTTATAAAAAAAATCTAGGGTCCAATCTCGTTTCTAATCATATGCTCGGTGTACCATAGATTCGCGAGAAGCCACGGGAACCACAAATAGTTCCGATATCTTTATGGGTGTCGATCGCGGAGCTGAGGACTCCAGCACATGGCAGACTGCAGCTCACCTGCACAGCCACCATTCCTGATGAGGTCGGCCCCGGGGAGCGATACGCTGATCTAAAGAAACAAACTGTATCAGGTATTACTTTGAAATTTCTAGATTTTTCACTACAAATTAGGGATTTTACGAAACGATTTTGATTTTTGCACAATGAATGCAACTTTTTGGATAAATTTGGTCTAATTTTTAAATTAAAAACTTATAGTCCATCACCAATAACTTCATATTGTTAACTTTTTTATTTAAAAATTTAAAGGAATACATTAAAAAAAATCTCATGATTAAAATTTCTACAATCGAATAAACAACATTTAATATTTAACTATTATTCCAACAGTTGAGATGAACGAATTAAGCCTCAAACGACCACTAACAGAAACTAGCCAAGCTAATGCGACCGCATCGTTTATATTACCGCATCATCCTCTTTGGATTATCAGCTACGGTGTACTCTTACATGAGCTTCAACTACTATTATATTAAAAAAATACCGACACAGGAGCTCGCAAACATGGAAGTTACAGTGAATTTCCACTGTCGTAACACTTATTTGACAACATTGCTATCTCTCTCACTCTATTTGAAAACAACAGTAATAGTAAAAGTCTGATATAATAGAAGAGACCATGGGAGATCAAGATCAATCCAAATTGACAAAAATTAATAAATTACCCATGAACACTTTGATAGGCAAATAATCAAAGCATGTTTTTAATAAATAATATTTGATCCAAAATAATCATCTGGTCACCTATATGAAAATCGATCTTCCACTGACTCCTAGACTACAAGTGTCACGACATTTGAAATTTATTCTTAGCAACCGCATTACTTAATATTTTATGTCGATCCATATTAGTGACCCCATACGTTTATACTGTCAAGTCTATCGCTTAAATGTCTATTATTTTTATACGGAAAATAAATCAAATATTTCTTATATGAAATTGTATTTTGTTTCTAAGAATCCAATAGAATTTGAAAGTATTATTTGTCACAGAATATGAAATTAAATTTTATTCCTGAGCTTCTGCATGTCAATTACATGAACTCCACCACAGGGTGTTACCAGTTAACTGCTTAGTGGGTTTCTGAGACCAATATCCCCGTTTAAAACATATCGTCATCCCTGTCATTATCTTTGGCATGTTTGAGATAACAATATGTTTTAGACGGGTATTTTGGTCTCAGAAACCCATGGTAAATAATTTCAGTTAAGTCAACAATTTCATATATTTCTTAAACCCCTATAATCCTTGTTAATAATATATTTTTATGTAGCATTTTTGAACTCTGATTGCTGAATGTAACCAAATGCAACTCTTTAATAATTCTTCAGTAGTAATGACGCTCTTGTATTTAAAATCTATTTCTAAAAGTAAAGTTGTAAATTATTTTTATGCGTCTATTTTTAATGGAATTAATTCGTCTGTTTAAATTATTTTCGTAATTTCTACTATTTATGTATTATAATATTTTTTTTCTTTGCCATGCGGTTATAAATAATTCTTTTTTTATTTCTATACTTCATGTTCGTTCACTTTCCCCTGACAAGGTACTAGATGTATATCCAAATAATATTTCTAGTGGTATCCAAGTCACTTGCTATTAGTAATGTTGATGTCTATTAGAAATCGTGGGTTGTTCTTTAAACTTAGAGCCATGCCACACGGGCAAATACGGTGTCTAAACGCAATTTGTACTCTTCTATGAAGCATACTAATTGCGTATTATTTGAATGATAAAAAAATTAAATTTCAATATTTTAAAAATAAATTTAGTCGCTGCGGAATTATACTACTCTAACGTACGTATGGTGATTATATCCCAATTACTAATGTTTTCCGTCAGAGCAATTTTATAAATCAATTGTTCCCCGGTTAAACAACGCTCCTTCGTAATTAGGACAACGCAACGCCCGTCTGGCATCGCTCTTACACCGCTTTTAGTGTTGTCCTCATATTTAACTAATATCAGAATACTTATAAATTTGGCAAACATAAATAAATAATATTGCTAAGTTGTGAAATTGTTACCTTATTATCGGTACTGCAGATGTACTACTGAAAAATAAATTTTAATCTGCGTACACTCAGCTTATTCCTATAAAATTGTTATTAATTAATTTGGGTCCATATTCATATTATAGTAAATAATAAATTTATTCTTGTTAAAATTTTCTTTTGAATATTTTTTTAATTGGGTCTGTGAAAAATTTGAACGAAATATTTTAGAAACGAATTTTCATTTGTTTCCCTGCTAAGTTCGTACAAAATGACCTTTCAAGTTATTTGGATTGAGTCTGTATTGGTTGTCTGCCAAGGTTTCGTGTTTATTCAAGTCAGAACAAAGTGTTTATTGAAATGTTTGTTGCGATCGTGTTTTGTAAATATTTACGATATAGGGATTCCTTTTGTGGGATTGTGGTTGTGTTGTTTAAAACCTTTATTGTTATCAGAGTTTGCATATTTTATTACTTAATATAATAAAGTCTAACTTATTAACCTTGGGTTTTTGAGACCAAAATCTCTGTATAAAACTTATCATCCCTGTTACGTTGACAAAACAGAAACAATATTTTTAAACGCATATTTCGGCCTCAGAAACTCACGGTAAATATGGTTTTCTTATTTCAAATTCTGTACTTTTTTTTTTTCAATTTTATAATATTTGTATTTTTCCTTAATGCCAGTAATGCTTTTCTCTTTATATTAAAGCGCGATTTTAAAATTTCGATAGTGAGAAAATATTTTATGATTCATAATATTTGTCTGTATGTTTTAACAGATATTTTCGATATAATTAATGTGACGCTGTAAGAGCATATAGTTATAATGTTAATAGAGATTATCAAGGGAGCATTGGACTTTTAAATAATTTTCGAACAAATATTTAAAAAAAATGAAGAAAAAAAAATTACATCACTACTAATAATATTTCTATAAAATCTTGCGTTAAAAAATATTTTTAATATTTAAAAAAAAATGTGATTTTTTACTTTTTTCGTAAATGTCAAATATTTTCGTGTTGTGTCTTGATGTTCGACAGTTGTTTGAAAATGTAAAAGTTGAATGTTTCTTTGGTGTTGAAAGTCTTCCTGCAGCTCTTTACACTGACTATAGTAGAGAGATATTTGTTAGGCTAAAGGATGTGATAAGTCAAGAGATGTATATGAAAGCAGAATATATATTTTAAAACATTAAAAAGTTATTATAATTATAAAGATTGTATGTTATAAATGTGTAATAGCTGTTAGTTCAACAGATTAAAAAATATATTATATTAAATGTGCGAAATCCTATTGTCGACAATCGCTTTTATGTGTCTTTATGCTAAAGTGTCAAAGCAATGTAAGGACGTGTTTTTTTTTCTTCAATTTTTTTCGAAACTAAAGCGATTGTTGATTTTATTTTAATTCCTGGCCATTTAAATATTACGTTAAGTAGAATATTAATGAGGAAATAAAGTGTATAAAGCATAAAATGTTTTGTTTTTGTTTAACATCTCCTTGACATTTTACTACTAAACGTGGGTTTTACAATAAGCTTTCTTAGCCTAAATCGAATGTCTGTAATTTCAGTTGTGACTTATTTTGATTCCCACCTCTTAAGGTATATAAATTTTCGTGAGACATAATTATAAACTAAAAATAAAGCGGGTAACAATAACTGGATTTATCCGGTGTTGGCTGTTGCAGCCCCGTTTCATGGCGGTTGCGTGGCCAGTACTCGCTGCGCCTCCTTAGACATTTATGAAACATGTTTTTGACATCGATTCGTATTTTGAAATTTTATTTTATCTCGTCCTTTTCTTTTTTTAAATCATCTATTCATAATTAAAAGGTATCCGTGTTATATACCATTATTTCTCCCACATTAATATCATATTAACACGTTGAGCGCCACGTCAGCTATCGGTGGCTGACACTAGATTTTCCATTTAGGCCGCGTCCGCGATCGGTGGCTGACACTAGATTTTCTGTTTAGGTCGCGTAAACCATCGGTGGCTGACAGCGTGTAACATGACAATTATAAAATTTTACATTATTTAGCGTTAAAAATGTAAACTATTTTGTACAGCGATCGGAAACACCGGCTTTTTAGTACCATTGCGTATAAACGGCGCTCGTGGCCTGCACGGGATTGTCTTAGAAATACGCGTGACGCTCAACGTGTTAAATGAAATAAACAGGAAAAATATTATATTATAGAAAATATATGTTATTTTCCTACATTCAGTTAGTAGATAAAAGAAAATCACATTACAATTGTGAGCTATTTTAGTTAACAATAGCGATTATGTCAGTACTCATGTGTTTCTACGGCAGTATTAATTGCGGACGTTGTACGTCTTTTGTCCAGCAAATGCACGTTTTGAAACTCATGTGCTTGCAAACAACACGTATCACATTTGTTAAACATGGTCATTTGTAAACGTAATTATATTTAGATGATTGTTTTATTTGTTTAGAAATTTATATAAAAGACTAGAGCACGTCCGCGACTGTGTCCGCGCGGTATACAAATTTTAGTAAGTAGCCAATTCTCTAGATTATATTATACTTCTGTGTGAAATTTCATTGAATTGTTCTGGAATTACATTCTAATAAACATCCATCCATCTATTAATCCATCCAAACATTCGCATTTATAATATAATATTAGTAAATTAAAAGTGGTAAATGTCGAAATGAATGTTGATTTGAATTATGGCAAATAAAATATAGAATCTGTTTACTTCTCTGAATTACGAGAATTTCTTATTTTATTCAATTATTTCATCTTTCATACGATATTTCACCTTATTTGTTACACAACGTTATATTTTTCCGGCTCGTTTCCTAGTTTCGATAACACAAAGGAGCATCGCAGGGCGAGTGTTTATCGGCCTCAAAATATAATACGCCTCGAAATAAAACCTTTGAGCCTAAAAGGAATGCGTAAACAAAGCTTTTTTCTCATCAGATGTGGTGATATTTTGATTTTCATAAAAAAATGACATTAATCAGAATACACATCCGGAGGCCTAGCACGAATATTTGCGATAAGCGCTTTTGTATCATCATCGTTCATCATCATCAGCTCACTATACGTCTCCATTGAGGGGCTCGGAGCCTATCCTAAGGTAAGGGTGATTAGGCCATAGTCAAACACGCTGGCCAAGTGCGGGTTGGTTGACTTCAAACATATCTTTAAATTTCTTCTCAGTTATGTGTAGGTTGCATCACGATGTTTTCCTGTACCGTAAGAACGTCGGATAAATGTACATCTGTAAATCGAACATCGAAAAACACATGGTAGGATTCGAACCCAGGACCTGCAGATTGCAAGTCAAGTGCTTGACCCCTGAGCCACCGACGCTCTATCATCGTTAATTATGACAAAATTAGTATAAGATTTTTGATGTACTTTATGTCCGGTAGAGGCGGCACAAATTTAACCGATGACAATACGATGGCGATTGTCACAAAATATTCCTGATCGGCCCACTATATTATTCAAATTATGTACATTTTCTTGTTCTAGGCATAGTTTAAGTTTATACTAATCATCAAACACCAGTTGTATTTTTAATAGCGACTGGAAACAGTGGTCCGTGTATGGCGAACTTTAATTAGTGATTGTCTAACGCCAACACTTAAAGCTGTCCGGGTATACCGGCCTTTTAGAGTATAAACTTCAAATGCAGCTGTAATGATTTTAATGACTATGAAAATATTATTCATCTTTGTATACCAAATATCATGTTTAAATAATTTCTAACTTTTACAAGAAACTGTACTTACTAAGTTTATAATTACTCAAAGCAAAATGTTAGGCACCAGCAAATATTTCTTTAATAATTCGACTAAATTATTAATA